GAGCAGCAGCAGTCACTCATGGTGGCAGGTGTGGAGGGTGGATCCTGTTCACAGGAGAGTTTCCTAGAATCTGATGACTTCTCCCCATCTGGGCCTTTTATACAGGGTCTTCCAAGGTTTGGGCCAATCAGTAGGGCATTTCCTCCTTGTTGTTTACATTATTTTTTCTATTGTTTTCTATGTTCAGTATGGGTATTAACAAGGAGGAAGTTGTTCCCTAAAGTCATGAATCTTTTGAAAGTGAGTGTTTCATCTGTTTCTTAATTGGCAGCAAGTCATAGGGACTTTATTCAGATAAAAGGAAGGAGCCACAGCATCTGCATTGTTCGTGCTCTGGTCATCACCTGGGCATGTGGCAGTTCCTGCAGGCCTGTGAGGGTCAGGGTTGCTGTTCCCCTACTGCTGTGTTCTTTTTCCTTTATGTAGATTAGGAAGTTTCTCTGGGAATGATAATGATGCTGCTCTGATGAACCGAATGCCTAGTTCCATGTCTGTGTACCCAAGAAGTGGTTGAGGCATCTGTCTCTGGACCAGCTTCCCCACCTGTATCCCAGGTGTACCAAAGGCACTTGGGAAGAGGCTGTAAACTGTGTTCCCAGCAGAGCCAGATCAGGTGTGTGGAAGCAGAAGGATTCCCCTGGGACTTAGAAAACATCCATCAATCGCCAGCCTAGGTGACCCCTTGACTTTATCCAAGGCTTTGCTGCCAGGTTTCCTAAAATGAGGTCCTTCTCATAACTCACTTGAAACTAATGTTTGAAATATGATATGTCAAGAGCTTTGTAAGGTTTTGAACAACCAATAAAAAAATCTATTATATTAAAAATCAAACAAACAAACAAACAAACAAAAAAAAAAGTTGGTCTAACTGGGGAATTCTAGGAATACCGAATTTGTTGGGTACTTAGTGAAGGAATTACACTAGAGGAGATTATGCCCAGTTATTTGTGAGTTCTACTATGTTCCAAACTTTTCTGAAGTATAAAACATTCATTTGGGCTGGGGATGTGGCTCAAGCGGTGGTGCGCTCACCTGGCATGCGTGTGGCCCGGGTTCCATCCTCAGCACCACGTACAAACAAAGATGTTGTGTCCGCCGAAAACTAAAAAAATAAATAAATTTAAAAACAAAACAAAACAAAACAAAAAAAAAACATTCATTTAAAACAGTGTTCAAATTATTAGTTTTCAACTTGATACACCAATTGAACACTCCCCTGTTACTGTAACAGGTTAATGAATAGAGTTTATCCCCATCCTCAAAACATAACTCCTTAATCATCCCTGTTGGTAGATAATCAGTCTACTGATGTATAACTTTGTAGGTCACTTTAGGCTGTTTTATAACTTTTGATAAATGAAATGGTATGGATTTGGCTACTTTTTCTGCACATTAAGATTGAGATTCACCCAGGTAATTCGTTCATCTTGTTCCTCTATTATCCTACCTTAAATGTATAAGTCACAACTTCTTTGTTAACTGTACTGTTGATATATACATGTGAGTTCTTAGCAGTTTGAGACTATTAAAATGTTAAAACTAATTCTGCCATGGAAATTTTTGAGGGTTTATTTTTTGTTTAATAAATGTAAATATTTCTGTTAAAAAGCATACCTAAGATTAGAATAGCTCATAGATTTGCTTAGTCAAAATATTTATATTTTAGAGGTCTTGCCCATCTTTGCATAAATTCATTCCTAGGCATTTTACTCTTCATAATAATATGCATCATATAGTTTAAATTTTAAGTTTTAACTATCTGAATTATAGAAAAATAATTTATGAATGTGTGTTGGTCTGTTATCCAAAATCCCTCAGTACTTACAATAGTTTATCAATAATGTATTTTAAAAATCTCATACAATAGTCATGTATTGGCTGTAATGTATATAAAAAATATAGTTGTGCATTTTTCTTGTAGCAGGGGTCACTCTTAATATTTCACAATTATGGTACTTAATGACTGTTTCTTTTCATCAGATCAGCTGAGATTTTTTTTTTCTATTTCTATTTCCTAAACTATTGACATTTATAACATGCCTTTTCTTAAGCTTTTGGGATGACATTATGATTATTTCATTTTTTAATTTAGTAAATATGATTAAAACATTGATAAATATTCAACTCTTAGAACTTTGCATTTCTGAAAATAATTCAAATGGCTATGATTATGAGCATTGGCACTTCATTTGGTTTGCCTATCTGTTTGGGTATCTCAGACAAGACCATGTGTTTTGACAGGAGTGCATGAGATGGCATTAAACCTCCAGTGAACCATTGTGAACCTCCAGTCACAAGACTGAGTGTTTAAATCCCCACCCCCATGGCTTTCACCGTACTCTGTTGAAGGTTTCTTCCTTTGGGAGCAACATTTCTGCCACAGGACATAATTTAAAATAAAAACATCACCTTGGTTTTCTTCATGCCAGTAGACCAACAAGCAGAGAGAGGAGTTACTATTAGTTGTGAGACAATTATCATGAGACTGTAGAAGATAGGGAGATTATATCTGGAACCCAAGAGATTGACTGGATTTATTGATTTACTGTCACTGCCATGATAAGCTACCAGAAACCGAATGGCTTTAATTTATTTCTGAAGGCTGGCAGTCTGAAATTAAGGTGTTTCCAGACGAAGACAATTGCCATCGTCATCGTCGTCCTCCTCCTCCTCCTCCATCCTACTCCTTCTCTCCTCCTCCTCCATCCTCCTCCTTATCTTCTCCTCTCCTCCTCCTCCTCCTCCTCCATCCTACTCCTTCTCTCCTCCTCCTCCTCCATCCTTCTCCTTCTCTCCTCCTCCTCCTCCATCCTACTCCTTCTCTCCTCCTCCTCCATCCTCCTCCTTCTCCTCTCCTCTCCTCCTCCTCCTCCTCCTCCTCCTCCATCCTCCATCCTCCTCCTTCTTTCCTCTTCTTCCTCCTCCTCCTCCTCCTCCTTCTCCTCCTCCTCCTCCTCCTCCTCTCTGAGAATTGTGAGGGAGGTATTGATTCCAGGTTGCTACTTTGACTTGTAGAAAGATGTCTTTTCCATGTGTCTTACATTGTCTTCTTTCTATGTGTGAATGTCTTTAAATTTATCCTTCTAATACAGACACCAGCCAAATAGATTAGGGTCCAAACTATTTCAGTATGAACATATCTTAGCTAATTGCATCATCAAAGGTACTATTTGAATAGGAATTCTGGGGGAAACATAACACTGGATTATTTCCTGGGGTATCTACCCTCAGTAATAACAACAAATGGGTAATAGCAGCAACCACAGTTTGACAATGACATAGTAACTAGAGGTGCGGACCCATTAGGCAGGAAGATCTAGGTTACCTTTGCTCTAAGTAGGTACTCAGGGGAAGAAGGCATGTAGGGTTTGGTTCACATGATAGCAAGGAACAAATTCCTTTAGATGAGACTCTCAGGAGAACACAAGAGATTCTCAAATCTTTTTGAGGTAGATGAATCCCTCCAGTGGCTGGTAAGAGGCAAGGGTCTCAAAGGATCCCTGCATTCATGAAAGCCATTAAATGCAACCCCAGCTGCCACAGCAAGTAGCTGGTGCTCACTGAGGTGTGGGAAAATAATTTGGAAAGAACATTGTAAGCAGCAGATATTCTGTGTATATAAGAGATTATTCCTTTCACATTTGCATCAAGTAAAGGGCACATCTTGCTCTAGTTAAGTCCTGATGCCATTTCTACTTATCTGAGATGTCAGTGTAAATACACTGGAGCAGGAAGAAAAGGCCCAGTAGTGGATCTTGCTCATTATTAAGCACACAGCATCACACAATGAAATGTTCTCATCTGAAAAAGGGAGACACTAATTTATGGAGAGCTGTTTTGAGGCTCAGGATGGATAATGCCCTTGGTACATGTGTTCGTACATGTCTTAAAAGGAATGCTGTCCAAGAAAACACAGCACAACATGGGATGAGAATGGTTCAGAATTTATTAAAAGCCATTTAAGTAAGAATTCTGGCTACTAGGAAGATTGTGAAAACAAAAATCTGGACCCAAGAAACATGAGTACATTGAGAAAGAAAACATGATCACGTAGATCCCTGATCAGCCAGAGAAACCTATGTGGAGAGCTGTGAGGCTTTGTTACATAGAGAGAAGAGAGGGAAGATCTTGATTTAAGAATCAAAGGCAAGAACATAACTCTGAAATTGAGATACAGGAAGATGCTGCTTGATGCCCCAGACACAAATCAGGACGAAGTAGTCTGTATATCCTCAAGCTGATTCACAGGGCTTACACAAGCAGGAAAGTAACAGGCATTTTGGTGACAACATGCTGGGCTTGTGAAGTACATTTTTGCCTAAGGAGGTAATTCAGTTGACAGAAGTTTGTGCAGATGTTGGTCCTTTGGGGACTTGAGCATTAGCAGCAAGGCTGGCAGCAGCTGGATTCATAGCCCTGGCCTAGGCAACCAGGCAGGCAGACACAGGTGGGGTGGTAGCATCTCCTTGTGCAGTACACGGGTCCAGAGCAAACTGGCTGGCAGCAGCTGGACCCACAGCCACTGGACCCACAGCAGGAGTTGGACCCACAGCCACTAGACTCACAGCAGCTGGGCTGGCAGCAGCTGGACTCACAGCCACTAGACCCACAGCAGCTGGGCTGGCAGCAAGGCTGGCAGCAGCTGGACACACAGCAGCAGGGCTGGCAGCAGGGTGTGCGGCAGCAGCTGGTCACACAGGTGGGCTTGAAGGTGGTCCT